TGTGTGAGTGAGAGAGTGTGTGTGTGTGTGAGAGAGTGTGTGTGTGTGTGTGTGTTCTGTGAGAGTTCTGAATGAGGCTGAGGTGTTTTGGTCACGTGTTCTGCTCGTGTTTCTCGGGTCTAGTCTAGTTCTTGTTTACTCGAGTCCTGATGGTCCGAGGACTGGGTTGGAGCGGGTTAACGGCTCGGTTAGTGTGATTAACGGCGGAACAGATGGTCAGAGCTCACAAACACTGACTCCAGATCAGTTCCTTCACAGCTTCTGAAGGCTGCAGCTGTTCTGTGGCCAGCAGGTGAGCACTGCTTCTGATCAGAACTGAACAACACACACGAGCAGCACTATTGTCTCACTCTGTGTTGATGAAGGTGAAGATGATCTGCTTGATGAAGGTCTGATTCGCGTTAAATGTTGATGCATCACATAATCGTATCAGACCAGCTGGTGTTAGCGTTCAGCTCGTGTTGATGTGATTGGTCACGTTGTAATCTCGGTATTATTTACAAGCTATTATAGTATGTTCATATTTTTAATTAGCCTTTATTTTTATACCATTAGTTTTTAATTTTAGTTTGTTTTAATAAAAACAATTTTAATTTAATTGTCAATTTTTATTGTTCAATTATTCTAAATATTTATATTTAGCTTTTATTTTCGGTTTCATTTTTTTTATTTATTTATTTTTTTTATTCTAGTTATCTTATTTCAGTTAGGTTTTTTAATTTAGTTTAAGTTGTTCATCTAATATTTACATTTTATTTCATTTGATAAAAAACTATTCTGATTAGTTCTAGTTGTTAGCGTTCAGCTCGTGTTGATGTGATTGGTCACGTTGTAATCTCGGTATTATTTACAAGCTATTATAGTATGTTCATATTTTTAATTAGCCTTTATTTTTATACCATTAGTTTTTAATTTTAGTTTGTTTTAATAAAAACAATTTTAATTTAATTTTTATTGTTCAATTATTCTAAATATTTATATTTAGCTTTTATTTTCGGTTTCATATTTTTTTTTATTTTTTTTTTTTTATTCTAGTTATCTTATTTCAGTTAGGTTTTTTAATTTAGTTTAAGTTGTTCATCTAATATTTACATTTTATTTCATTTGATAAAAAACTATTCTGATTAGTTCTAGTAATATTTAGTGCTGGGCAATGATTAATTGTGATGAATCGCATCCAAAATAAAAGTATTTGTTTATGTAATACATGTGCGTGTGCTGTGTATAATATACAGTGGCATGCGAAAGTTTGAGAACCGCTTGCAGAATCTGTGAAAATGTGAATAATTTTAACAAAATAAGAGAGATCATACACAATGCATGTCATTTTTTATTTAGTACTGTCCTGAGTAAGATGTTTACATAAAAGATGTTTACATTTAGTCCACAAGAAAAAGGAAAAAAAGCTGAAATTATTAAAATAACCCCCTTCAGAAGTGTGTGAACCCTTGGTTCTTCATACTGTGTGTGGTTACCTGATGATCCACGACTGTTTTGTGTTTAGTGATGCTTGTTCACGAGTCCCTTGTTTGTTCTGAACTGTTAAACTGAGCACTGTTCTTCAGAAAACCCCCAGCTCCTGCACATTCTTCAGTTTTCCAGCATCTTCTGCATATGTGAACCCTTTGAACCCCATGATTCTGAGATCCATCTTTTCACACTGAGGACCACTGAGGGACTCAAACACAACTATTAAAAAGGTTCAAACACGCACTGATGCTCCTGAAGGAAACACGGTGCATTAAGAGCCGGGGGGGAACTTTTGAACAGGATGAAGATGTCCAAATAAATGAAAAAAAAAAATTTTCCATTTAGTTCTGCCCTTCGGAAGCAACAGAAGATACTTACTTGCATGTTTCCCGGAAGACAAATTAAATGAAGGCTCTTAATGCATCGTGTTTCCTTCTGGATCATTTTCTTACATATATACATGCATGTGTGTGTATTTATATGCATAATAAATATACACAGTACACGCACATACTATGTACAGAAAAACATTTATTTTGGATGTGATTAATCGCGTCGCACTAGTAATTTTAGTACTTCAATTTATTCAGATAGTTGCCAAGGCAATATTTCTAATCTTCATTAAAGTTGAACTTTTTCATCTGACACTCATGTTTTATGTTGTTTCTGTTTGATTTCACTGAACAGAAGCTGTTTTCAGTGGTTTTAGTTTAGATGTGTTTTGTGTGTTGGTGATTTAGTGTCGAGGTCGTTGACCTCTGCAGGCCTGACCGCACATTTAAAGAGACAGACACGTTTATCTGACCGCCGTGAGAGACTGGAGGGGCATTTTCAGGTCAAACCAAACCCAGGAGCATATAAACACACATACACTCTCTCTCACACACACACACACTCTCACACACACACACACAC